AAAAATGGATAAGGGCCGCCACACATTAAAAGATTTTTCGGTCTTAAATGATTTTTAAACGTGTGACCACAGACACGGGGGAGAATCATATGAAATTTTAACTCTGATCGCAAAGACTGCTGCGGACCACAGGTTACAAAGCTGTGAGCACACTTGCATCAGCTGTTTCCTGTAGAGTAAAACCACTCACTTTGAGACTCTAAAAGATCAGAGCACTGCAGTTCTAGTTTAGATGCAGGTCAAAACTGTGTTATTATTTGTGAAATGTGGTGCAATACATCAGATACATGATTTTTATTGCACATAATATGAATGAAAATGCTGCAGTTTAACTTTACAACTTTACGAGAGGTGAGCACTTAAGTCGCCTCATTATTTTCGCTTTTTCCTGTATCTGTATCTTGCCCCTCTTTGTCCGTCACTATGTATGCCCCTGACTCTCTGTTTTATTGACTGTTACCATAGCGTTAGTGGTGTTTGGTGGTTACAATCTGAGAGAGCAGCTCAGAGTCACACTGACACCACACACATGGGGGGGCGTAGCGGATTCAAAATCACACACAATGACACAAAGTCGGGTCATAACTCCTCGAACTCGGGAAGAGGCAAATTGCAGCCTAAATTGGGCAAATTTTCCTGTAGTGTGTGGTGGCTTTTAGTGAATCTTTCAGCGTAATCTGCATAAAATGATATTTCTTCACTTTTGAGGTAAATTTTAAAAGTATTGCTTACATTTTAAATACATTTCACAATTTTCGCACATGGATGTGATGGATTAACATAATATTATAGACTCGGGTTGTCTTTTATAATGGGGTGTGGTATTGTTTTTGTCTGGTACGAGCTTGTACTTGTGGCTCAGTCTTCTCTCCTTCCTTCTCTCTGTCAGCACAGCGTTGAGTGAGCGCAGTCGCCCCCTGTTTACCTTATTAATTAGCCCAGTGATCCAGAAACACTCTCCCTTTGGTAAATAGAATAACACAGAGGGGTTAGCGAGGGGCGTGCAGGGGGGAGACATGACGGAGGGGGGCAGGGGGATTTGGGAGAGGGGAGGAGCTGACACAGAGCTGGTATTTTTCAGTTTGCTTCGAGCCGTCAGGGAGCAGAGTGATCAGAGAGCCAGAGGAAACCCAATTCCACAGGTCGTCATCCTGCTGAATTTAGAGCCTCTGTGATCAGCTGTCAATATGCACTCTACACACCTACACACTGCAGCTCTATCACACGCAGGGAGATTTTTTGTAGAAACAGTGTGAACTTTTTAAAACAATTTTGCATAAAAAATTTCCTGGACGACTGAAGGCGAGCAGTTTTATTTTAAATTGGACAAACCCAAAAAAGACTCTTAAACATGCACTACACAACTTTTCTGGTGGAGGGCCCGTCACCTGCTTGTCTTCATGGAGATGTTATTGCTTTGCCTGGGATGTTCCATGGTTTTGAGATTAAACCTATCAATCTCAAGTGAGACAGGCTATGTTACAGGCCAGATCTGTGGAGAGTCACCCCTATGCAAAGAGATAATTATTGTATTTCTGAGCAATAAGAAGACCTGTAATGGATAAATCCTGGATAGATATGTTTAATGTCAAACCACGGAACATTCTAGGCAAAGCAAAATCATCTCCATGGAGACAAACAGGTGATGGACCCTCCACCAGAAAAATTGCACAGTGCACCTTTAAGTTGGAAATAGAATTGTATTCATCAACTTGTTGCACCAACATGTGGTCTTGCTGTTCATTATGAGTAAATTCAGTCACTGGTAGCTCCCCTAATGACATAACAGCATTATGTAGACTGCCAGTTGCTTTACCCCCAGAAGTATAGATGGGAATTAAAATCAGATTTTCCTCAGTGACTTCTTACCAATTAAAGTGAATCTGCAGTGACAAGAAGTGGAGTCATTTTTAACTTGGGGTGGTTTTAGTCTGGTGTTTTAGGGAAAATCCTCTGGAATATAAGGGTATGTTTTACCTACTCAGAACTCTTGTACTTTCAAAATATTATTAGTCTGAGCATCTTTTCTTGGCTCGATTTTATTTACAGATGGACAAAATGTGAGGTGCAGATCATGAAATGTACACTCCCTGTTTGAAAACCTCAGACATGCTGAATGCATCAGCATGAAAAGTTGATGTGGACTTTTATGGAGGAGAGGGGAGGGGGGGCTATTGCAGCCATTTTGACAGATTCTTGATCCATCTCATTTTGGTCGTTTAAAGAGACTAGTCGGTGCAGGTATGTTTTTCATCTCTCCCATTATATCAGCAAGATTCAGACCGAGCAATGCAGAGCGAAACTCAAAGCAGACCTTTGGTAGACGAGCCGTGTTTTGAAAGCTGCTTTTATGAACCCTGTCCAACCATTTCTAATACGTCCTCTCCCCTGTGCGATTCTACATCTCTGTCCTCAGGTCTGTAGTTCAAAGCCTTACATGGACCTGGCGGAATGCAGAAAAGAATGACATTAGCGTTTGTGACTGCTCCTTTGGGCTGTGGTTCAAACACGGAGCAAGAAATGTGGTTTGCATTATTTGGTCAAAGCAGGTCAAAGGTCAGGGGTGTAATGGCGGAGTTGCAGTTATTTCAAAATAACCTAACCTTGCAGTTATTTTAACCCAGAATCTTTTTGTAATCATACTTTTTACCTAGTATTAGGGCTTAAACAGTGGTGGCAAGTGTAACAATTACATTACTGTACAACATCTCACCCTTATGTAATATATAACCCTATGTCAATCACTGTTTAATCTTTGCACTGTTTCTCCTTATGACCTCTTGTATATAGCTACATATATTTACTATATATCTATATTTTTATTTTTACTTGTACATTATACCTTATTTGACACCAATCACTTGCTATTTTTGCTACTTTTTTTGAATGTATAATTACCATTTATATTTTTCACACTTGTCCTGGTTTATTGTTGGTTTATGCCCTGTTTAGTCCTGATCTAGACTTGGTCCATTTACCTTGTTTTGTCCTGGTCTTGCCTATTTTAATCCAGAGTTTAGTCCAAGTTTAGTCTCAACCTTGGAATGTGTGGCCTGTTAGATCTCTTCAAAAACTTGACACATTCAAATGAACTTCCTGTACAGCCAGTGTCGAAGTAGCCCTTAGCCCTGATCCCTGAGCCTGGCTGTTGCCCCGCTTCCTGTCCCGTCAGCCCTGGCCCTGTCCCTCATCTGTCTCCGTAGCAGCCTGTCCTGATCAGGTGTTCTTATCTGATCACCTCCTTCCTGCTCCCTCCTGGATCCGGGAATACAGCCCCTCCTTCCGGACACTCTCCCCATGTTCCCCGGAGAGGCTGACGAGAAATCCAGACACCCCCACTGCCAACAGCTGTAGCAGTACCAGGCCATGCTACTGAATTAACTACACCATATGGGAGATACATGTGGTAACCACAGTAAATATACAGGAGCAATATACTAATCTTATACACCTCTATAGCAGCTTCAAAAATCCCACTAATACTGATATGAGCGCCTGAGAGAGTGGCAGCCGGTCACAGTAGCTTATTATATTGCTATATTTTATTTTTAGTTGTACATATACATATGTTAATAATAAATTCTAAATAAGTAACAAAAATAGCAAGAGAATGGTGTCAAATAAATCATAATAATAATACGATTATATTTTTGTTCTTTGTTATTATAATAGATGATGTGTGAGCTACTATGTCCAAATAATTTCTCTTGTGCATCAATAAAGTTTGTCTAAGTCTAATACTGAAAGCATTGTCATACAGAATAAGACAAGTAGAGGGAAGGAAAAGCTCTCACGTTCTTAGAGGTATTTGATAATAGCAATGTTTTGCTATGTTTTGCTGTAGTGCCTTTCAAGACACTCAAAACTCTTTAACATTGCATTGTTCCCTCACTCCACACTCGGTGGTGGTAAGCTACTATTGTAGTCACAAATGTCCTGGGATAGACAGACTGAAACAAGGCAACTAATCTGCTCTATCAGCAAAAGTTATAGTGGCTAGCTTCAAATGTTATTTTTGTTTTTGGTGAAGATACATGACATTGTATCTTCATCAAAAAGATACCAAAACTCCATAGTTACTTAACTTCAGACCATGAGTAAAGCGCCTAGGCCCTTAACAGACCCTTATCTCTCTCTCTAATGTTGAACTATTGCAGAGTAACTTGTTTCCACATGGATCTCACATAACAGTGGCTCTAATTGGTTTGTCCCTGCAGTTGTTTCCTTATGGTTCCCACTCAACAAAATGCCTTTTGTAATAGGCATTTTTTTCTCAAATGGCCATACCTTATGCAACGCAGTATGTCTATGAACTAGACAAAGAGTTATGTACAGACCCTTTAAAATAGAGCCCTTTCAGACCTTTTACATGGTAACATTAAACAATTAGTGAACAGGAATTAAAACTAAGTTAAAATAACTAAATCTTAACTGCTTTGGGAGCGTCTCGGGGTTAGCTGGTTTGGGTTATCATGTGGCTCAAAAATGTTGTTATTAAAAACATTATTGTTGTGTTTAGACTCATGCTGACATCCTCTTCAGATCTGGTTTAAAATCCCCCAGGATCACACTCTCACTGAGGGAAGTTATCAGCTCTGTGCCCCTGTGTGTGGCTCATATGAGAGAGGGACATCTGTAATGGATTTGAAGGAGTTTGGAAAAGTGAGGCTTTGACAGAGCTGTCAGATTTAATCTTTGTGGTCCATAAGAGAAGAGACTGTACCTTTGTGCCACATTACGGTGAAATTAAATACAATAACTTATAACACTTTTATGCAAACCCCTTAGAAATTATTATGGTCATAAATCGCCATGTTTAGGGTTATGTTGAGGTCTAGTAACAAATTGGGTGTCTAGGATCAAATTTTTTATAGCATCTGTACTGTCTGGCAAAAGAACATCCTAATAAATAAAATGTCTAATCTCTGTCTACTGTCCTATATTGGCTGTTACTTTGACTTGAAACTGTAAACCTGATTTATCTCTTCTGTGTTTTTCAGCCCTGTTCGTCCTTTTCGATTCCCCAAAAGGTAAAATGTTTGTCTCCTCAGCTCCTCCTGTTCTGTTCCATTGCTCCCAGCAGCCATCCCTCTGTCTGGATCTGGCCTCTGTTCACTCAGATGGAGATATTAATGTCACAGATTACTGTAAAATAGTGCAAGTACATCCCAGCTATTTCTATAATAACTGCAAAAGAAACACTAAGAAAGTTTGGTAACACTTTATTTTACTTCAGGACCCATTATGCAATTCATTTGCAACATGCAATAACATTTAACCCAACACCTCGATTGCCTACCTAAACCCTTACTACCATGTAATTATTGTATTACAAGGTGTTATATATTATCTGGTGTGGTAAATGTATTAACAAATGCATTTAACCAACCTTCTAAACCACTATTCCTTCAGTTTAAACTGAATACCTTAAGGTCCTTTACTACTTCAGAGATACATACATATAAGAACATATACATATACAACTAGCTGGGTATGTTTCACGGTCCTTAATTACATAAAATGGACTCTTGTCAGATTTAAGTCATGTTAAAATGTTGTTAACTCCTCAAAAACCTGGAGTTGTGTTTTGTTTCATTTATACATATTTTAGTTTAATCCTTTATTATTAGTCTGTCTACATCTCCAAAACTCAAAATGCTCTGTTCCACCTTGTGATGTCATGAAGCGGTAGTTTTCAACTTAGCGGTTACCTTTTATCTTTAGTTTTTATCTTTAGTTTGCAGTTCCAGGGCTGAAATCATCCAAATGATTCTAGTGAAGGTGTATGGAGTTAAAAAAACATACACAGGGGACAGATTCCTTTATTACCAAATGACATCATAAGGTGGAACAGAGTGGTTTCCTGTTTGAGAGAAAAACTCGGCCTAAATATGCAGGGTGTTGTGTGCTAAACATGTGCGAATGAAAACAAAACACAACTCAAAATGTAGTTTCCTGTATAATTCTCTCTCTTCTCTTGTAGTTATGCAGAACTGATTGCTGATTGGCCGGTGGTAGTTCTCGGCGTGTGTACAGTCCTCATTGTGGTGTGTGCTCTGGTGGGCATCCTGGTGCCTGACCTGCCTGATTTCTCCGACCCCCTGCTGGTGAGTCAGGGTAGTTGTGTGGTATTTCATTTATTATGTCATTTGCTCATTTATACACTCAGGGGTGCTGCTAGCAAAACTAATTGCCACATAAATTACAAGTCTACAAGCATATTTGAAATGCATGTGAGTCATGTATTAGTTTAGTTTATAGTAGTTTTTATAATAGTTTTAATTAGGCCTGTCATGATAATTCAGTGCCACTGGAAGTTCTCTTAAAGAAGGGGTTCTCAAACTGTGGGTGAGGGTCCAAAAAAGGGGTACAGAGTGTTTCAGTGCAGTACAGTTTGCTTGGCAAATTTTATGCTTAAATTAACATTAATCAGATAAAATTGTCTCGGTCTTGGGACCCTGTGGTCTCGGGACCCTGTGGTCTTGGGACCCTGTGGTGTTCGACAGGTCTTGGTCTCAATTAGTGTGATCTTGAATACAACACTAGTGCATATACTGGTGAATCGCCATTCCTTTAGGTAGGGCCTGGTCTTATTAACTCGCAACAGATGCCCCAGTGCACCCAGTTTGCAAAAAAACAAAACGCAACAGCACTGTTTATTTGTTGCAGCTCATGCCCTTTAAGGATACTGTCTCTTTAAAAATGCTTTGTGTTTGTGGCATGAAGTAGTTTCAGTATTATCACAACATTTCTCTGTAGCTGTATATAATGCTTCAAAGTTCATGTTCAGTCATGATACAATTATTAAACATTTCATTATTTTTTCCTGTATTTATTTTCAGGGTTTTGAGCCTCGGGGAACAGAGATCGGGCAGAGGCTGGTCACATGGAACAACATGGTGAAGAACACTGGCTACAAAGCCACACTGGCTAACTACCCGTATAAATATGCCGATGAGCAGGCCAAGAGGTAAGAATACTTTTAAATCTTGGTACAGCAGTTTACATATAGTGATACATAATAATTTTACGCATAGCAATACATATATACTGATCCCATAATGGAAACACTCACTGCTCTTAATCTACAATAGAAACACAGAGAATAAAAATGGTACATGTTATCAAGATCAAAATAAAACATATTGGTCTTATTATTGGAACAATAACAAAAGATTTAGAAAAATTACTCAATTTTTTTTCTTTCTCTCAAATGAAAAATGTGCCTTAAGTATATTTGTTGGCCAGATGGAAGACTGAAAAAGAATTGTGATACAGTTAACTATTTGGGGTAAAATATGTTTAAATAAATCTGAATATTTTATGTGTATTCTTGGTGTGGAAAAACAGGCTACAATACTATGTCTGTTTGAGGAGACAGATCAGGACAAAGGTCTTAGGGTTTGTGTGTGTGTGTGTGTGTGTGTGTGTGTGTGTGTGTGCGTGCGTGCGTGCGTGTGTCGACGGACGCTTCTGACAGATCTGATGAAAAGTCTGAATCCTGAAAGAAAAGATATTTTTACCCAAGAAAAGATATTTTTGCCCGGTGTAAACTGATTCAATTCTGTTTGTGTGAAAAGGAAAACTTGAGCTTGAGGATGAAAATAGTGAAAAAAAATCTGACAAGGATAAAAGTTTATATTTCTGCTCTTGTGTTTAATTTCACAGTCCATTTGTTTGGTCCATGAACTTGTATTATTCACAATTACACACAACAGTGAACTAGGACTATGTCAGGACTGAACAGGACTAAAAACAGGACCAATAGGAGCGATAGAGACACAGAGAGAGGTACAGACAGAGAGAGAGAGAGACAGAGAGAGAGAGAGAGAGAGAGAAAGAGAGACAGACAGAGAGAGAAAAAGAAAGACAGAGAGATAGAGAGAGACAGAGATAGAGAAAGAGACAAGAGAGAGACAGACAGAGAGAGACAGAGAAAAAGAAAGACAGAGAGAGAGAGAGACAGACAGATTAGAGAGAGACAGAGAGAAAAAGAAAGAGAGAGAGAGAGAGAGAGAGAGACAGAGAGGAGAAACAGAGAGAGAGAAAGAGAGAGAGAAAAAGAAAGACAGAGAGAGAAAGAGAGACAGACAGAGAGAGAAAGAGATAGACAGAGAGAGAAAGAGATGGAGAGAGACAGGGGGAGAGAAAGAGAGACAGAGAGAGAGAAGAGAGAGAAAGACCGAGAGAAAAAGAGAGACAGAGATACAGAGAGAGAGAGACACACAGAGAGAAAGAGAGACCCAGAGAGAGAGGGGAGAGTTTTATTGCCTAAAAACTCCTTGAACAACATTCTTCTCTTACTGTGAGTGGGATCTCCTCCACACAGAATTGACCTGTTACTTTGCCTGGTAGTGCCACATGCGCTGTCTCTATGGAGATGAAGAAGTTTAATGTCTCACAAAATTCCAGGCAAAAGCTCTACCGTCTACACTGAGAGAAGCAATTAGTGAATCCTCTACCAGAAAAGCTACATAGTACACTTTTATCAGGGATGTACTGCTACTGTTATTGAAAACTGTGGCAATACTGAAAAATTTGCTGGATCGAGTTCAGTTCCATGATACAGGCTACTTTTGACCTAGAATGTCTCATAACATTTTAACTTTTATTTATACTTTTATTCTCATGTGTAATAAGTTGACTGTTGTAAGGAAATAAGTACCATTTTCTGTCCCACACTGGTATTGCTTAATATTGGGTATCAACAGATAACTTCAAAGTATCAGTCGGTATCTGAACTGAAAAAGCTCGATTGGTGCATCCTTAGACATTAAGTTTTTGGGGTTTTTTTTTGGCATTACCACCCACTCCTATGACTGATGTCTAGTAGACAGACTGCAGATGATTGGTCACATTTGCATCAGAAGCCCTCAGGCCATCATAAGTACTGGTAAAGTGACACCGCTCTGAACACTGGGAGTCTGTATTTGTTCGTCTCATCACTGTTTAAAGTGCAGCTCTGTGATTACGAATACATTCAGTCTTTTTTTCTCAACCCCGCGGCGTCTGTCCCTTTCTATTGTCTGTCTCCTGCCTGTCTGCTCTGGAAATGACCAGATGTCAAGTCAAGAATATTGTTTCAAAATAGTAATTGAACAAATATAACTCAGATGTTATGCCCCAACAGTCTCTTTATACTTGTTAGAAAATACATTAACTTCAGCACCTGCATACATTAGCGATATTATAACGAATAAGAGTTGTGAGTATTCTATAGATTTTGTAGACTAAAGCTAAACATAATTATTACAAATCTCAAAACTATTAGTGTTAAAAGATTAAAATACATTTAAAAGGCACATATTACATAATTTTTCTAATGTTATAATAATGTTGTTTTCTCATCACAAACATGCAGAGTTGTGTTTGGTTTCATTCATACGTTTAACACACAAACCCTGCATATTTAGGCTGAGTTCTTCTCTCAAACAGAAAACACTCTGTTCCACCTTGTGTTGTCATGTGGTAATACAAGAAGTGTTCCACTGTATTTTTAATAAACCTTAATAAACTCCATCATACACATTCACTAGAATATATGGATAATTTCAGTCTTGGAATTGCCAATCTCTATTAAACAAAAGGTAAAGAGTAGCAGTTAACTTGAAAACTACTGCTTTATGACGTCACAAAGTGGAACAGAGCATTTTGCACTTTGGAGATGTAGATAGCTTAATAATAAAGGCTGACTCAAACATGTGTGAATGAAAGAAAACACAACTTCAGGTGTTTTGAAGGCAGTAACAACATTATAATGTGGCTTAAAGCTCACAAGAGTCAATTTCTGTAATATAAGACCTTTAAAATGAGTTGTTATAATTATCACTGTACACTACCACTGACAATGTTTTGACAAATAATCTTCCTTGTTCATATGCGCATACACTGTTAGCTTGCATTACTTCTGCTTGGACACCTAATAGCTCATGTAAGTTTCCACAGCTATAATGTGCTGGCAAAGTTTAGAAAATGGACCTTAAACATTTATGAAAATTACTTAATGTTGAAAAATCTTTCTGACCTTGGCCCATTTATCAGAGGCCCCATTTTACAGACCTAATACCATTTCTGTGGTGAGTCACCGGTGTTTTGGGCGGGACAGGGTCATTACAGCTGCTTATTTTCATCCTTAAACTCCAAATGTGCCCCCTTCATTTTGCGTCATTGCCTCTTGGGCCAAAGCAAGCCTGTTCTCTGTGTTCCTGGGTTTTATACACACACATATATATATATATATAATCAGAATTATACTTTGACATTAATTATAGCAGAGCTTCATGAAGTCTTTGTTTACAGTCACCAGGAGCCCCGTTGGACTGAGGACCGTTACGACCGTGATAAGAGACAAGCAGAATGGGACTTCAGTAAGGACTACTTCTGCGATGTCCCAGGTAAAGTTGTTGTTCATCATTAGAACTGCATGACCAAGCTTTGTTTTAGGGCTAAAGTGCACTATGTAACTATTCTGGTAAGAGGCTCACCTGTCTGACAGAAAGTGCTCCACTGTGTTTTTAAACTTCATACACCTTCACTAGAATCATTTGGATGATTTCAAACCTGGATTTGATTTGACCTGGATTGGTCTCTACTGAGTCAAAGGTAAAAGGTAGCTGTAAACTGGAAAACTACCACTACATGACATCATAAAGTGGAAGAGAACATTTTGAGTTTTAGAGCTGTAGACAGACTAATAATGCAGGATTACTCAAACATGTATGAATGAAACAAAACACAGCTCCAGGTATGTTTTTGAGGTGGTACCATCATTATAACGTGGCTTAAAACTCACAAGAGTAAACTTTGTGTAATATAGGACCTTTAAATTGCTGTTTGAAGATCAAAAGTAAAGCTGTGAAGATATGATGTACATTATTCTTACACCAGTTTGTTGTGTATCCGCAGGCGACCGTTACTCGAGGCTGGTGTTCTCGTCAGCGGAGGGGAAGAACCTGTGGAACACTCAGGCCATCAAATCCATGTGTCAACTGGACAACACCAAGGTGGGTTATTTTGTACACACAGCTCTATGCCCTGTTGTAAACTTCAGATTAAAGTGCATTTGACAGGTTTTCGTGTTTTTGTAGTTATTACTTTTTTGGTGGGATAGTAACAGTTTTAAATATTTACCTTAGTTTCCCATTATGATGATGACAGATGACAGATTGTGGAAAAAAGTTGAGGAAAAAATATAAACACAAAAAATAAAATAAGTTCTAAATGCGAATACCTCTACCTATGTCATCAACACTATTTATGTGATTTATGTGCAAGGAAGGCATTTTTTCAGACAGTTTAAACTGTAATTTAGCTAAATAAACTTTTATTAATCCTTTTTATAAATCTGTAAATTTTGGCCCTTTTTAGCTTTATGGTTCCTAGGTAACCATTAATGATTTACCACTATGTTTGTCACATGTGCTGAGTAGTGTAACGTATTTAAGATTAAACTCACGTCTCTTGTCTTCTGTCCAGGTGAGGTCCCACAGAGACTACTGGAGCCTGTGCCAGCGCACCAATGATGCCTCCTGCTGCCCCAGCTGGACTCTGGGAAACTATGTGGCAGTGCTGACAAACCAAACGTCTTGTCTGGAAATATCAGACCGAAATGTGTCCCACACGCTGAAGATCCTCCGCTCCTGTGCCAAATATTACCACAATGGCACACTGGGCCCGGACTGCTGGGATATGGCCCTGCGCCGAAAAGACCGCAAATGTGCCAATGTGCCCCGCAAGTGCACAAAGTATAACGCTGTGTACCAGATCCTGCACTTCCTGGTGGACAAAGACTTCCTCAGCCCCAAAAGCCTGGACCACCCCCCTCCAGTGCTCAAATACAGCATGCTCTTCTCCCCCACAGAGAAGGGAGAGTCCATGATGAACATTTACCTGGACAATTTCGAGAACTGGAACGCCTCAGATGGCATCACCACGATAACAGGAATTGAGTTTGGGATCAAGCATGATCTGTTTCAGGACTACCTCCTCACGGACACGGTGTACCCGGCCATCGCTATAGTGATTGTTCTGCTTGTGATGTGTGTGTACACGCGGTCAGTCTTCATCACTCTCATGACCATCATTGCCATCATCAGCTCCCTCATCGTCTCTTACTTCTTGTATCGCCTCATCTTTAACTTTGAGTTCTTTCCTTTCATGAACCTGACTGCACTCATTATCCTGGTGGGCATAGGAGCGGACGATGCCTTTGTCCTTTGTGATGTGTGGAACTACACAAAGTTTGACAAACCTCACGCAGACCTCTCTGAAACAGTTAGCGTCACTCTTACAACATGCGGCGCTGTCCATGTTTGTCACCAGTTTCACTACAGCTGCTGCTTTCTATGCAAATTATGTGAGCAACATCACTGCCATTCGCTGCTTCGGCGTTTATGCTGGTACCGCCATTTTGGTGAACTACATCCTGATGGTGACGTGGCTGCCTGCTGTAGTGGTGCTGAATGAACGCTATCTTCCCAATATATTTTCCTGTTCAAATCCTCCACACCAGCAGAGGGCACACTGTGTCAGATGGTGGGCAGGGCTGTGTCAGAAGGCCAGTAAATGCCTCTTCGCTGTATCAGAGGCTTCACGCATATTCTTCGAAAAGGTGCTGCCGTGCATTGTCATTAAACTGCGTTACCTGTGGTTGCTCTGGTTCCTGGCTCTCACAGTGGGTGGGGCGTATGTGGTGTGCGTGAACCCAAAGATGAAACTGCCATCTCTGGAACTGGCAGAGTTCCAAGTTTTTCGCTCGTCTCACCCATTTGAGCGCTACGATGTTGAATTCAAGAAGCTTTTCATGTTTGAGAGAGTGCACCATGGAGAGGACCTGCACATGCCCATTACCATCATTTGGGGTGTGACTCCAGTGGACAAAGGGGACCCCCTGAACCCCAAGAATAAGGGCAAACTCATCCTGGACGAAAGCTTCAACATCGCCAGTCCGGCCGCTCAGCTTTGGATCCTCAACTTCTGCCAAAAGCTCCGCAACCAGAGTTTTGTGTTCCAGAGCGAAGGGCAGGACTTCACCAGCTGCTTCATCGAGACGTTCAAACAGGTCAGTGCCAGTTCTGTGAAGGAAATCATTTTAGGGCTATTTGTAAAAAAAACATTAATAGTAATATAGCTGGACAATTTGGGGAAAAGAGCTAGTTGAGATTTTTCTTACAGTGCCTATGTCAATGTGGACTCCAAAATCTGATTATTATCTGATTTCTTGATCTTTCAGATCATGCAAACCTCCAAATCTGATATGAGTAATTTTAGGCACCATGATTAGAAAAAAATTATGAAAAAAGTGATTACTTACATCAGATTTTGCTATTTACATGTATTTTTTATAATCTTATAACTCCCAAAAAATAACTCAGAATAATCAGATTTTGAGTGTGCATTTAAACACAGTGTTGCAATTAGATTTGAAATTTGTGTTTTCAAAAAACTGATGAACATAGTTCTCGCAGACTCCATGGAGACACAGGGGCATTTCTGTGGTTTTAATTGCACCAGTTGCACCATCACTACTTTAACGATTACTTTACCTAATGATTGCTTTAGTTCTTTAGTTTAACAGAATATTTAAACTTTTTCTTCCCTGTTTTGTTAGTGGATGGAGAACCATGACTGTGAGGAGGCGTCCGTGTACCCCTGCTGTAGCCAGTCTACATTCCCATATAAACAGGATGTGTTTGAGCTGTGCATGAAGAGAGCCATTATGGAGTTAGACCGAACCACCAACTACCACCTGGCCCGGAAGACCCCCGGGCCGCGCTTTGACATCAACGACACCATAAGAGCCATTGTCCTGGAGTTTCAGAGCACCTATCTCTTCACACTGGCCTACGAGAAGATGTACCAGTTTTATCAAGAGGTCAGACCACTCATATTAAAAAAAATGAACAAAGCTTGAAAAAATAATAAGGTTAGCTTTATTTCTTCTTTCTGCAATATCTTTCAATAACATGCTTTTGTCTCATGTTATAGGTGGATGCGTGGATTTCGGAGGAGCTGCGCTCTGCCCCTGCAGGCCTGAGTCATGGCTGGTTCATCAGTAACCTGGAGTTCTATGACCTGCAGGACAGTCTTTCAGGTGGCACCTTGGTTGCTATGGCGTTGTCAGTTGCTGTGGCATTCAGTGTGATGTTGTTGACCACATGGAACATCATCATCAGCCTGTATGCCATCCTGTCCATCGCAGGGACCATCTTTGTGACTGTGGGGTCCCTGGTGCTGCTGGGCTGGGAGCTGAATGTGCTGGAGTCTGTCACTATCTCTGTGGCTGTGGGTCTGTCTGTGGACTTTGCCGTTCACTATGGCGTGGCCTATCGTTTGGCCCCAGAGCCTGACCGTGAGGGAAAGGTTGTCTTTTCCCTGTCCCGCATGGGCTCAGCCATCGCCATGGCAGCGCTCACCACATTTGTGGCAGGGGCGATGATGATGCCCTCCACAGTGTTGGCCTACACACAGCTAGGCACCTTCATGATGCTCATCATGTGCATCAGCTGGGCATTCGCCACCTTCTTCTTCCAGTGTCTGTGCCGTTGCCTGGGCCCCCAGGGCTCCTGTGGTCAGATCCCCCTCCCCCGCTGTCTGCGCCTCCACACTCTGTCCCCTCCAGCTCCCGACAAGTACCAACTGGACTCCAGTGTCCAGGCAGAGCACTATGAACTAGAACCGCTCGCCTCGGACCCCAAGGACAAGCCTCCAGAGCCACAGTCTAACGGGGCCCCTCCAAACAGTGGGCCCTACTACAGCACACTGCCCCTCTGCCACTACTGCTCCTGTGGAGAGCGCCCTCACTGGACCCCCCAAACAGACCAGGACCCTCTCTACACTCAGTACGTCCAGTGTTCTCCAACCCCCCAGCATCATCAGGGGCGAGCTGGCTGCCCCAACAGAAAGCACTGCAGTCCCCCTCACAACAACCACCACTCTACCTGTGTACCACCTGTGTCCACCCCCCACGTCCCTCAGTGCCCAGCCGAGGACCACCCTAGCCCCACCCCACACACACACCTGGACCCCCCCTGCCCACCCTCACACACACACTTGGACCCCCCCTGCCCACCCTCACACACACACTTGGACAGCGGGCAGTGCCCCCCCTCATGCTGTAAACAGACTCAGAGCTCAGAGGTCTGGGACAGAAGCATGTCTCCTAACAGGCTTCACAGTAAGAGCAGGACTGAGAGTAAGTGCAATTCAAAACTGAACTTAAGTCAGACTAAAGCTGAGGCCAGTCACAGCACAGCGCCCCCTACAGAGACTTTGTGTTAAGGCCTTCAGAAGTGCCTCAGGCCATTTCAGAGTTTACGTATTTATATTCCACATGTGCCACACTGTTTGGTTTGTTGCTAAGGCTATGCCCACACTTCGGCAATGGTTTACAGAAGAGCGTTAGACACTTAGTCTGAACTGCAGTGACGTTTTAGATCTCACTTTGATCAGTGCTAAAGGATATCCACAAGTTTCCTCAAGTCCTTGCTAACATTTGTGTTTATGAACGCACAGCTGACGTTTGCAGTCTCTCACTATACAATAGACTACACAATAGTCTTATGATTTTGTGTGTACTTACCCATAATGTTATCAAAACAACAAAAATGTGCCACTTTTTTACAGCTGATCCAAATCGTTGCCTGACACTTTGTGGAAAACAGACATTAATGTGCTTTATGTCTGTGCATGCCTCAGATTACAGAACTATGTGATTAAAATTACTTTTTTACCACTGTTCTGGCTCAGTGTCTTGTTCTGTACACAGCCCATCAAGGCAAAATAAGGTCTATAAGAGAGAGAGGTACTTTATTGATCTCGAGGGAAATTCAAATTTTGCTGCGATATTTACACAGCGCTTATCAGTCTTCTTGGTGTCTCAGTTAAAGTGCTTAGTGCAGTTTACCAGAAGGACTGATCAGGTACTGACACCATATCTGTGTCAGGACACTTTGAGGAGAGGAAGAGCCAAACGTGTCCCTCCTCTGTGTCCTGCAGCATCACTGCAGTGTCTAGTGGGAGCCAGGTGAACACAACTCTTACTCTACTCTGGTGTGTCGGTTGATGATGAAATAGGCCATTTATCATCAACAGTATTTCTTCTGGAAGGTCGTGTGCCACATTTGCTGACACATATGGTATAAAAAGCCTCCGTGAATATGTGAAAAAGAAGCTAATTTCAAACAATCCAACAGTCCCTTACTTGTGTCCTTTGAGCTGCACATGCTGCACTTCTCAGTTGGTTAAAATCCCACATATGATGTTAAAAACAAAAGGTTTCAAAAACTCTGTGTGAGCCAGGTAGCAGTGTGCACCTTTGTTATGTCTGGTGCCACAAAGCTAATGCTAATGATGCTAACACACTGAGGTCAGCCCAAGCTCTTAGAAATAGGCTAACGTTATACAGTTTAAGCCTTTTTAATTTTCACTAGTAAGACAGCATATCAAAAGTAATCAAAGGATATTATTGTACATATTGAATTGGTACAGTAATCCTCTGACAAATGCGCACATGACTACACACCCTCTCATTCATTCAATTATATTATTGTTACTACTTTCTACATTATACAGAGCGCATTAGATATATTTATGTGTTAAAGAAAAAATGAAATAACTTCTGCTGGTGCTGTGAAATGGCTTCCCAGGTGTCCCATGCAAGGGTCAAGAAATGCCAACGTGCAAATCAGGGTTCAAAGCAACTGGTGGCTATTTTTATTAGCCCCCCCCCAATTTCAATTTTGCTTAACCACGTGCGTCATCATTAAAGTAATTCCCTCTGCCATCCAAAGTCCTTATTAAAAGTCCATTTGTCAGATAAATTAAACAGCAGAGACAAGCCAAAATAAACTGTCGTCAGAGCTCTTTAGTTCACACAGACTGACAGCTTTAAATGGCGCTGGCACTGCTCTGCACATTAACAAACATGGGCCATAATACAAGTGAATTACTCCTCTGCAATGTCCTCAGACTGACTTTGGAACAAGAACTGCTGAGTGCTGTCTACTTTTAATTAATGAAGGCTGCAGAGCTATCGTAAGTTCTCTGTTAACAAATGGGATAATCACAAAATAGCTTTTCAAACGACGCTAACTGTCAGACTACAAATGTCTTAAGTGCATCCCAGTTTGCAGCAAACAATAGTATATGCTCATCTAGGGTTGTCCAATAAAATCATCCAGATGTAATTCATTCGATACTGAAAACTAACATCAAAACTTGATACTAATTTGAGGTGGTTGGTATATTGAGAAGTCCCATAATTAAGACAAAGTTGGACCTTTTTATGAATAGTTTTTGAATGTTTTTTTTTTATCTTTACCAGAAAATATTTAATATCACATGATAATGTTGAATAATAATGTTTTTTAATCATCACTGTGGCGTCAAAATTGTTATCTAGGATCAAGACTTTACAAAATATTGAGTTTGAAATATTTGCCCAAAATCCAAACCACATTTTTGTTGGTGTCAATAAATATAATCTAATAATTCTTAGTCTAAAATATTAGACTTAGAGAAATAAGACTAATTTTGCTTTCAAGATTGATTCAAAATAATTTATTGTCAATTTCATTTCATTCAGTAGAGAGACAGAATGCAGTTTCTACAGACATATTCAGTTTCAAGAAATATACACATCCAAAATAGCTGAAAAATGTATCAATTGCAAAAATGTTTTTTCCATTTAAAAAAAAAAAAAATCATCTTTTGCAGCTATTATCAGTGAAAATAATGTCTAGTATATTTTATCAAGTAAGGACAAAATTGTATCAGGAATCTTTAAAATGGCACTCTGTTTTTGCAAATGAACTCTTCAAATATTTAAACAAAAATAAGTAATAAAATGACAATTAATCAATAATATACAGATTAATTTGCAACTTTTACATTCACTTCTTCAGTCGAACCTTTATGGACATTCAGTTGTCAATGAACAAATAAATGAACACTATTCCTTATGTAGCCAATATGATTATAAGTATTTATTTTGTTCATTTTTATTTATGTATTTCTTATAGCCATACAGACAGTCAAACCTCTAAACCCCACTGCAGAGATGTGCCGAAGCTGGTCCTCCTGCCTTTGACACATTAAATTTACTGTTTTATTTTGGTTTCCCAGACGCTGTGGCCGCTCCTGTGGAAAGTCGATTAGATCATCACAGGGCATTCACTTCACTGGGAGATGCTAGTTTCCACCACAGAGTTTGAAATGGCTCCAAAATGCAATGGGAAAATTACATTCAGAAACACTGGAGATGTCTGTGCTCAGGAGCTGTCCTTGTTACACCCTTAACCCCAGAAAACAAACAAACAAGGCCTAGAAAAACATGACATACTGTACTGCCACCCACATAGACATGAGGAAAGGGGAAGTTACCCAAGTTGGTGTGAATGTCACTGAATGTTAAACTTTGATGAATGAACATTGGCTGAGAGAATGGCTAGATTATTAGTGGTTGGAAATCAGTTCATTCAATTCTTTTGAAAGATATTTCCACGGTAAAGAATAAACCTATCTAGCTAAAAAGAAACAACTATAGGCTACATTACAGGTCAGATCTGTGGAGAGGCAACGCTAAACACAGGGAGAATTATTCTATTTTTGAGCGTAACAAATAAAAGCTAGATCATCTAGCTAGCTTTCAGCGTTTAATGCCATACCATGGAACATTCTAGCCAAAGCAGTAACATCTCCATGGAGACAGACTCTTCCCCAGAAAAGTTGCACAGTGCACCATTAACTCAGGATTAGTTTGAATACAGTCCTGGTTTAATTCTGAATTATGCCTGGGCAGGGGTGTCAAACTCAAATTCACAGAGGGCCAAAATTAAAAACTGGGACTAAGTTGTGGGCCAAACTAAATATTTATTGAAAAATTTCAGCAACATCTGCATGTTTTCTCTTTTTTCGATATATATATACTGTTAAACCTTTTCTTATTAAAATAAATGTGTAATAATAGTTTTTCATAACAAGCTAAATATAAAATAAGAACAAAATTTTGAATAAAAAATGTCTCTATAGCCTATCTCTAGCCGGCGGGCCAGCTCTAATACATATTTGATATGATCTCATGGGCCAAATATAATTATATCGCAGGCCAAATTTGGACCCCGGGGATGAGTTTAACATGTCTGTTCTTGAGTCTTAACTTATTTAATTTCCCTTCAATAAAGTTATTCTACCATCTCCATATTTTCTGACATTGTTGTATTACATATGTGTGATGTTGGCGCTCTCTAGTGGCAGAATGAGATGTGTATGTCTGCAAAGGAAGGTCAGAAGCTCTCTCCTGTGACTTTCTGTTTTACTCAAAGCTTCACTGATGAAACTTCACAACCACATTGCATTAGAACCAATCTATGTGTGCACTACATCACTATAACCTTATACTTCACTCTGGAAATGACACTCTGTATCACAGTGGCACATCTCTCATTAAAGCTGCACTGTGTAACTTCTTGATGTCATTGATATATCTGGAATGTTCTGTAGTATGACATTAAACAGCTCTACCTTACATTTATTAAATTACAGGTGGTTTTATAGCTCAAAAATACCTAGAAAAACGGGCATTCTGATTATGAGCAGGGTTGCCTCTCCACTGATCTGACCTGTAATTTGGTCTGGTTTGGTCTCAGTGAAGACAGAAAGGCAAAACATTCCAGACAGAGCAATTACATTTCAATGGCTAAAAGCATTTGGCAGACCCTCAACCAGAAAAGTTACACAATGCACCTTTAAATAAATTGTACACATAATATGGAATCTTCAGCCTGGTGAGTGAGCTTCTGGGATCAGGCACAGAGCACATCATTTCGCTGACAAAGATTTTTGTAATCCAATCTCATTCGACAGTAGATATTATTTCATCACAGTCTAGCAGCAGTTAGTTCTCTGATGTAGAATCTTTAAATGTCTGCCATCTGATCTGTTATTTTTCTTATCTCCTAAGCATCATTGTTTGTTGATACAAAGGGACCACATGTCAGTCACACTCACCTGAACTCTGTGAGAAAGAAGACCCAAGCCCAAGACTCATTTCTCTTTCCTCGCTTCCTTCTCCTTGATTCCTCTCCTTGATTCTGCAGGAAATGGGTGAGGAAGTCCCACCCACAGAAGAAACATAATAAAGATATAAACTTCTCACTGAGACCAGAACTGTTTGATTATTTTGATGTCTGCCTCCTGAAGCCTCCCACATGTTTACTCCTTCCTTTCATGGTTTTCTTTTGGACACCACTTAATACTACATATTTGACTGACAGCTGAAAAATGGATGTTCAAGGAGAGGAATCAAGGAGGAGAAAGCGAGGAAAAATGCATCGCTCAGGGACGCTTCGCCAGATGTTGAGCACAGTCAACATAGATACGTTATTGGCCTCATATTTACCAGGGATTGAAATAACAGTGAAAGTGACTGCAACCAGCTAACATACTGAGCGTTCAGACCGCTGGTGCTTGGATGTTCTCCATTGGCAAGGCGATGCCCTCTGCTGGCTGCTCTGTGTTTTCCGCTGCCTTCTTGGGGGGCTTGTCTTCTTTGAGGATTTGAGCCGTGAGTCTGTCATAAAACCAGTCCAGGTCTTGGGGGTCTTCGGGCCACACCAGGTACCCTCGAGTCTGGACAAATGCTCGGATTGCGTTGTGCCTCATCAGCTGGTAGTGAGCCACCTATTACACAGATCAGACAGTACACTGGTGAAGACACATGCAAAACAAAGAGGGCTGGAAAAATATCAATACCAAAACTGAAACCAAAACTAGATACTCATTTATACTGCCAAAAAAAGGTGCCATTTTTAGCTTTATCAGAACTATAAGACCTAAGACCTCTTACTTTCTATATGAAAAATATTTGATTACTAAAAAAGTAACATTTTTTATTTTATCTTCAAAATATGGCTTAAATCCAAGTCACCACTGGATTTGAGTAGCAGACCAAAATTTAACAAAATTAACAAATACGTATAACAAATAATAAAAAATAAAAAAAACATATAGAAGATAGAGAAAAGAAGATAGATAATATTCTTCAGTTTTTCTTCAGGTTAAATTTTTATTTTCATAATCTTCTATATGTCCTTTCAACTTATTTATAATATTTGTAAACATATGTATGCATGCATTGTTTTATTGATTTAATGTATTTATTTTTTTTACAGCTCAATGCTATGATTACAGACACCAGATTTAAGTAAAAAATGCTTACATGTCATGACTACTCTTGTCCTGTATAATCATGACCTAAAGGTGCACTGCCTTTTCTGCTGGAGGGTCCGTTACCTGCTTTTTTCCATGGAGATGTAATGCTTTCCCTAGAATGTTCCAAGGTATGACATTAAATATACTGATCTAGCTTTTATTCATAACAGGTGTTTCTGTTGCTCAAAAATACAATAATTTGACTTTCCACAGACCTGAATAATAATGTAGCGTAGTGGTCTAACCTGCTTGTCTCCCTTGTGACAGGCAGGTTTAATCTATACTATGGAACATTCTAGACAAAGCAATAATACTTCCATGGAGATAAGCGGGTGGTGGACCCTCTACTAGAAATGTTACGCAGAGCACTGTTAATTCAAGAGTACATGCTCCCACTCACCCTCCCCACTATGATCACGATGAGCACATTGGAGAGCTCCTCCAGCTTACGACCCTGAGCCAAAGTGAACGCCTCCAGACACCACCCATCTGCACAGAGATTTTCAATGACATGTTCCATTACTTAAGCAACATAAAAGGGCAAGCATTATGATATTTTCTGATCTATGTTATAATGTTGTTTCTTCATCACAAACATACCTGGAATTGTGTGGCGTTTCATTCACACAAGTTTAACACACAAATCCTGCATATTTAGGCTGAGTTCTTCTCTCAAACCAAAAACACTGATCCACCTTGTCCACTATGGTTTTAAACTCCATACACCTTCACTAGGATCATTTCGGTGATTTCTGCCCTCAAATTGAAAATCTCTACTGAACATTAGGTAAAAGGTAACTGATGAAAGCTACCACTACATGACATCACAAGGTGAAAAAGAGCATTTTGAGCTTTGGAGATGTAGACAGTCTAAGAAAGGTTTATTCAAACATGTGTGAATGAAACAAAAACAACTCCAGGTATGTTTTTAATAAGGCCACAGCATTATAACATGGCTTAAAGCTCACAAGAATCCATTTTGTGTAATATAGGGCCTTTAAAAAAATTCTGTCTTTATCTTTTGAACAGTACCTTTTAGGAATTCTTTGGACACCACACACACAGTCTTCCTGCTTCCCCAGATAGCGTCACGGATGTTGATCAGGTGATCCTCTCCCGGCATAAAATCCCTCGCCTCAAAACAGCACCTGAACAAGTTTTCTTCAGAGAATTCCGAATCCAATTTTTTGAGCAGTGCCATCTCTACCCAGTTATAGTCAGCTTCACTGTAGCAGACAAATGCATCATACAGCAAATTCTCCTGTGGTTCTGGTGGTTTAGGCCCCTCCAGAACACGCCCTATCACTTTTTTGTATAGGATAAAGATATGCCCTCGCAAATGGGAGTAAACAAGCGAAGCCAGCATCATACCGACAACTACTGAAGTGCACAAGATAAATAAAACTAGCTTGAGTTCATGCATTGCCTTCTCATCATCCTCCTCACAAGGCTCCATGATAGTGGCATAATCCAACAAAGGCCAGTCTTCGTACTCTAATGGAAAACTGCAGTTTAAATCTGTCTTTGGGCTAAGGAAAGTTACATTGGTGCTACTTAGCCACCATAGAAAGCCTTCAAGCTTGCAATCGCAGTAGAAATAATTCCCAGATAGATCAATAAAATCTAAATTTTTAAAAGTGTCAGGATTTGGAGAAGCTAGATAGTTGTAGGAGAGATGAAGTACTTTCAAAGTACTTGGAAATGTATCTGGTTTAAGATATTTTAGTGCATTAGATGAGAGGTCTATTTCTAGAATAGAGTGAAGACTCTTGAAAACGCCATCCGGTAGAGTACTAATAGAGTTGTATGTGAGATTGAGACCCAGAAGGTTAGGGAAATGATTGAAGATATTGAGACACTTGTCCAAAGCCCATACAGTCTGCAAGGAGCTGCCTTGAAGATCGAGAACTGTTAAGCTATTGTTCTGTGGTATCTGTGGACTTTTGCACCATTTGATGGAATTACCACCGAAATATAAGGTTGGTAGATTTGGAAATTTCTCAACAACCTCAAAAAGCTCACCTAACTGCTCCAATCTATTGTACTGAACATCTATGTATGTAATGTTCCTCCCAGTTAGATCAGTAATGCCCCATAGCGAATTTAATCGGTTGTCCCTCAAAAAAAGATCAAGCAGGTTTGGTAAATACGCCGTAGACCCCAACCTCCGTAATGAGTTTCCGTTGAGATCTAGCCTCTTAAGAAAGGGCAGACCGCTGAAGGCTTTGAATCCCAATTTACCAATGTGGTTATTTGACAAATCCAGTACCCTCAAACTGGTCAAATGTTCAAATGTGTGACCATAAATTTCTCCGAGAAGATTAAAAGACAGATTCAGCAAAAGCAAACTGTTTTGAAGACCGCTGAATGCATTTGGATTTATCTGATTGATTTTGTTGTTAGACAAATGGATAATAATTGCATTTGATAAAGGGCTGAACACCGCCTCCTGCAGTGCGAAGATGAAATTGTCAGTCAGATCGAAGACTTGAAGTGAACTGTTTTGGAGTCCTTTGAATGTATTTTTATCCGGATCTGGCAAATTGTCAAAGGCAAAACCACTGCCTAGAGTTCCAGAGTGGTGCAGGGATTGGATAGACGTTCCTTCAATAGCATTTAAGAAGCGTTGAAAGCTAGTCACATTAAAACCATTCGTGGAAATGTCCAAAGTCTCAAAAGCCATGTTTTTGAATGGGTTCCCACACTTCTCCCAGTCAAATTTTGGTTCGAGCATAGTTCTGTATAACTTGTTATTAGCTATATTAAATCGCACGAAAGCTTTCCCTTGAAAACCAACAAGATCCACTTCACACAAGCTGTCAATCTGGTTTCCATTAAGTTCGATCTCCTTCACATTTCTATATCGGAAAAACTTCGCTGGGCTCACTCTCTTTATTTGATTGTAGGACAGATCAATTTTATACAGGGACCACAGAGATTGCAAATAGTTTTCTGACAAAATGGAGTCTGTGAAGTCACAATAGTCTATATCTAGGTATTGCAGACCGGATAGGCCAACAAATGCTCTTGGTTCCAATGTTAAGTAGCGGTTCGATCCTAGAATAAGTATTTTCAGTTTGCGCTGTGTCTGAAAAGTGTTGTTTCGGATCACTAAAGGAACCCACTGTGCTCCCAGATTTAAACGCTCCAACTGTGCCAGGTCCTGTAGTGAGGTACTATTCAGCTCTGTAATGTAGTTGTGGTCTAGATGCAGGTCCTCTGTGTAGGATGGCAAGACAGGCACCGCTGTCAGCCTCTTAAAACTGCATGCAGCGATCACCCCAAACATCTCACAGGAGGCAACCACTGATACCTACAAGAAACAAAACATATTTTATTTTACAGTGTGTTTGAAAAACTTTCATTATCTTTACTTCTCTTTTGGCTCTTGGCAAGGGCGGATGCTTTTTCTCTCCTCTCCTGCCCCTTATCTTCCCTGCTTTACTTCTTTGTCTTGTCTAGTCTAGTGTCTAGTGTCTTATACTTTTGAGAGACTCTCTCTGCTCTGCTCTTCTGAATCTAAATTAACTATGGATGTGATAAGTTGGTCTTTCAACACATTTGACAGATTTTTTTTTCAACGAGGAATGCAGGTTTCGGAGGAACCTGCTTGCCCCAGTCCGTGGAGGACATAGAAGACATTGGCCTATTCGGAACCATGATTGCAGGACTTTTGCTGTTTGGATTAGGCATGGTCCTGATTTTTCAAAAAAATTCAAATTACTGAGACAGCTGTTCAAAGCCCCATCTGGCTGCCCGGCATGACGAGGGGCATAGCTGCAAGCTCTCGAACTTGTGACTATGGGCCGGGTTCGCGGTCATTAACCACTGGTTGGATGGACATGGTGGCTCTAAATCTCAATATTGGATAACACCTTGGAGAAAACTTGAAGCTTTGCAAAGAGGATTTGAGACCAATACATGGACAAAAAAGAGTAGTGGAAATTGAAAAAGCAGCAGTTCGCTCTAAAACCAAACAACACAAATCTTATCTTATTGGCCCTCCCTAGCCAGCACCAGTCTCAAGGCCGGTCGGTATCAGGTTCCCTGTAGATTACAGCAGGGAGACACTCTCCCCCTGAATATCCAACCCCTTGCAGCTTCACACCCCCAGTTTGTTGTATCCAGCGCCTAGTGGCTGTAGATCCGGATGGCTGCCTGCCTATGTTCAGTTAACTCCACACCCATGTACATGTGAAGAAACTGACAAATAAAGGCCATTATTCATTATACTGAAGGTGCTGTACACATTTTTTTCTTTTCACTAACTGCTTGTCTCCATGCACATGTAATTATTGGTTTTTTTCTTATTATTATGAAAACATGTTAAAGGGCCCATATCGTGTCAATTGTATCATGTATCTCTATTATCTGACCATGTATCTGACTCAAAACTGCACTCACTCACTCATGTACAATGCATATCAAACTCACAATTCACTCCCAAATCTTCAGCTGTCCATACTATTAGTAACTATAAAAAAAACAGACTACAGCCATAGTGGAAACTCAACATTTGATTGTTTTGTTGCTGTGGCTTGAGGCTCACCTGTCCATACAAAGTGAGCAGGAGAAGAGGCAGTCCCAGTGACCCCATGTTGCGTGTCCTCACAGGTTAACAGAGTGAGCAGAGCATGTTTGCATAAACCAGAGCAGAGGGATCGTCAGCAGGGTCATGGTCCACTGTGTTAATAATGAAAACTCTTCTTCTATTCACACATGTTTGTTGATTCGGTAAATATTTTACTTGAACTGTCATTGTAAGTACAGGGATGTATTCTTCATCTGTAACATAAATAAAGTTATCAGTTATCACGTTCATGCTTTTTTACAATTCACAATACATTTAAAAGTCCTACAGCACACAAAATTGACTCTTGTGAGCTTTAAGCCATGTTAAAATTATGTTATCTCATCAAAAACATACGAGGAGTTGTGTTTTGTTTCATTCACACATTTTTGAGTCTATCTCCAAAGCTCTGTTCCACTTTGTGATGTCATGAAGCGGTAGTTTTCAAGTTAACAGCTATTATTTACCTTTTAGTTGAGCAGGTCAGTTCCAGGGCTGAAATCATGCATCGGCTTTAAAAACACAGTGGAGTACTTTCTAGGGCTGGGTATCATTAAGAAGTTGCTGATACAATACATACCTCGATACATAGGCCACGATACGATACGATACAAATCTCAATTCATTGCACTTTTGGTTCGATGCAATATATTATAAATTGATTCTCTACAGTTCAATAAAAAAATAAAGGCTAAATCATGGCTGTGATACTAAGTCTTTGTTAAACTGCTTCTTGTTCAAAGTTCATATGAAACACAAATATTTTAATCCTCAAAACAGTGAATATGTCAAATGTGTTGCATAAATGACTTTCCTTCCTCTGAACAAGCAACAAAACTGTAGCTCTGTAACAAAATAATTTAGTAAAATATACCAAAAAACACTCTTGGCAATATATCGATACAGCAGGCCATGATATCGATACTGTATCATCACATTAAATGATACGATATATCGATATTTCAATATTTTTGCACAACCCTAGTACTTTCTGTATATCTTTGTTGCAAGGTGGAACAGAGTGTTTATTGTTTGAGAGAAGAACTCAACCTAAATATGAAGGATTTGTGTGTTAATGAATGTACGAATGAAATAAAACAAAACTCCAGGTAAGTTTTTGATGAGGAAACAACATTATAACAGACCAGAAAGCGGTGTAATATTGGCCCTTTAATTTGTCCAGTTTATTTGCTTAACAACTACACAATTTAGTGCAAATGGCCTACTTGAGAAGCTACTTATTATTATTTGTGAGATAAGGACATTGCGGATAAAACCACATATGAATTAATTAAGTAATAAAATGAAAAATACATAAAATAAGTTCTGTACAAATGTATCTTTCACTGACTGATCTGTTTTATGTTATAACTTCTTTAGTTTTGTTTCTTGCACTGTATCTCCTTACATACCAGGAATTGCACATCAATTATTAACTAAAGCTACCAGTGTTTTACTCAGTGTGTTTTAATAGATGGGACTTCACTTTAAAACCACTTATTTACTCTGTAGCCTTTAACAGGTTATAGTAAGATTTTGAAGGAAAAATACGGCTATGTTTTTCTACTAACCCGTTTTCAGCAAGTCTAAACCTGTACAACTATGACTGTTTTCAGATTTCTGCAGTTTAATAATCTGATAAAGCTGCTGCGTTTTAGGTCACATTGTATCTTTGCGTCGTTCTTGAAGTTTTTCTTACCGATCTGAGCTCTAGACGCTAATCAAACTTACTGACAGTTTCCAGTGTTTTCCTTCGGTTTTACGCGTCGCCTCCTGTTCGCTCTTGCGGGGAAATGTCTTACCTGTGGCCGCTCGTCGCTGCTCAAACTCGGGCAGCGCCTTGTCCACGCTCCCCGGCGGTAGGAAGGACGCTGGAGGATACTTCTCAGGGGTAAAGTGTGTCAACAGGAATCAGTGTTTCCCAATTTCCTCTTCAAACCGCTGCTTCACTCTTAAATCAGTTCATTTTCTTCTGTTCTTAGACTAATTATAATGCCCTTCAACTTTAATAGTCTATATTAAATGACCTGTATGTTTTGAATTTTAGTATTTCATATCAATTGCCAGTTTAAATACACCTATTATTAAATATTCACTATAATCTAACTTACTGTAGACTAGTTGTTATTGTAGGTGATGTTGTCATTTCTTGATTGTCCACTTGATGGCAGCATTTGTTTAGAAAAGCTGTAAAGGACTCAGAGACAACCATTTAGTTTTTATTTTATTAGACAAAATCAAAGGCAACACGAGTTGAATGGAATTTTACTTCCATTATAAGACACAAGTGTTTTTGTTTTAAATGCAAACAGGAAAAAAAAGTATTTTATTCTTGTACACTATTCACTGTGAGGCATAAGCTTTATTTTTTTATAATTGTATTTATTTACCACCAACTCAATGGTTGGTTGGCAGTTTGAACCCCGTACTTTCATTGTGTTATTGGGCAAGACACTGCATCTACCTCTCCTCGTATGAATGGGAAGTGTGTGATTAGAGGTGGTCGGAAATTGGCAGCCTTTCTTACGTCAGTCTGTCCCAGGACAGCTGTGACTACAGAGTATAATTGAGTATCTTGAAACGTACTGGTCACATTGAATATTACATTCAGATGTCAGTATTGCTAAAATGCAAATTTGAGGCCACCCTCTTTTAAAAGTTTGTAAGTAACAGTGTAATCTCATCAGTTATAACAAACCACCAAGACAAAAAGTGCTTAAAAAACTATACATCCTTTTCATATTTTTCAAATACAAATTATACAATAGGCCTACATTTTTGCCATTCACACATGTAATTGCTGAATACCTAAACCCCCAAAGTCTTGTGATGATTCTGCTCTATCAAAATAGTTACAATAGAGACCCAAATGTTGTTCTGTTCATACAGAACAGTACAGACTTTTGTTGTCAAGGTCACTCACAGGACTTTTAAAATACTGAGAACAATTATGTTGTAAATGGTACCAACCTGTAAAAGTCCTTTCCATGACTTGGTTTAGAATTTGCTGATTTAATACTGTTTTGTTTTTACATTTATGGCAAACATAGAAATAGTGAACCCAGGACCTCTCTGCCTCTACAGTATGGCCTCATTCATGTGATCATCATATCCACCACTGTAACTCTTACTACAAAAATACAAAAGTTAAAGGTGCAATACATACATTTTAGGTGGGGGCCTGAAACTATCATTTCTAAATGTGGATATTGTTGTTTTGCTTTGTTTTTGTTCCACAAAATTGCATAAGATGCAGTCATTTCCATGGAGACACCACTAAATAAAAAAAATTAAAAATCCACAATAAAAACACTTATAACTGAATAAATATAAGTCATAAAAATTTATACCAAATGCTTTTGTAATTTTTTTTAACTGTGGGTTTACTTGATAACAAAAAAAGACAGAGCTTTTGTTCTTTATTTTTACCGCAACTGACACTAACTGCTGGTTGGTTGCATATCTATACTGAGAAGTTCTCCTCGCGTAAGAATAAAGACATTCTGAAAAGAAAAGTTCCATAGTACACCTTTAACAGCTTATGCATTGTTGTGCTCATAAACTTTGTGCTTCTGGGCTTTCTGAAGCCTTGAGGGCTTCTGGGCAGTCAGTTTTCTTTCTACCGTACAATATGTGATGTATAAGGAACACAGCTAGTAAAACAAAGAAAACAGTGCATATAATGATCCCCACGAGGCCCCCAACACTCACAGCAGAGGGCCTGTGTGTGGGCGCCACGGTGAAGACTTCCATGACCTTTGTAGGTCCATCACCCTCTTCTTTCAAACATTTGCCTCCATCCACCAGTGTATATCCTTCTTTACAAAAGCACTCATAACTGCCATAGGAGTTCTCACAAAATTGCTCACAGTAGAAGAACTCACATTCGTCCATGTCTATACAAACTGACCCACCATCACGTTCTTCTATAATGTATCCGTCTGGGCAGAAACATTGGAATTTATTGTTAGGGTCACATTCAGCAGGGCACTCCTCCTTACCACAGTAGAGTTTGCACTTCTCTGGAGAACTGGGGTCCATCTTGTATCCACTGTAGCACGAACAGTCATATCCACCTGGTTTGTTATCACACAGGTGTTCACAAGGTGCTGACAGGCACTCATCCATGTCAACACAAGTGCCACCTTTCAGCTTGTATCCATCTTCACAAACACATTCAAACCCCCCTGGAGTATTGATGCATTTCTCTTCATCTGCCGGACACTGCCTTTCGTCCAAACATTCGTCAAAATCAATGCAAGACTTCTTATCGACGGACAAATAAAACCCTTCATTGCAGGTGCACTGAAATGAATCGAGATACTTGTAGCAGGCGTGTTCGCAATTGAGCTGGACGCACGGGTCATCGGTCGCAACTTCGCAAGTTCGATTATTTGCAGGGTTGACGATGTTGCCAGAGGGGCAGTAGCACACAGGATGGTTTACTGGATTAATTGTGCATTTATGTTCACAACCTCCTCCTTGGATTTCACAGTTCCATGGTGCTTTTATCCAATGTTGGGATGCACACACCTGTCTGAGCTCGTCTGGATGTTCAGCGATACTACCGGCTGGCAAAAATGTGGCGTCATCAATTGCGAAACCATACGGTGTAGTACAAGACTTTAGTGTTTTGGAAGCCTTGGCACATGTCATGGAAAACGTACTCGCAGAGAAAGCCAGTTTTGGTGTTTTTGCACAAGTCTTCGTGCCACAGGAACTTGTCGTCATTGGATACAAAGATACAGCGAGGGGGAGAGCAGATGTCAGAGGTAGCGTCCACCCAGTTTAAAAAGTTACTTGTTGTGTCTTTTGTGACCCACTGAAATCCTCTGAGAACTGCAGTGAGATCCGCACAACCTGTAAAAAGAGACAGAAATACATTTTTTGCCTGGCTTATTTAGGGACTCATGGGTTGTACGTATCAAAACAAATATGGCAGCTTACAAGGAAAAAACAATGGAAAACAATTTACTGAAATACGCACCTCGGAATTGACCTATAAGTTTCTACTGGTCTCTAGTGACTAGGTAGGTCTCTGTGTCACAGTCTTTAATTATCAAAGTTAGTCTTCCATTGTGAAATGCAGGCATTACCTTTGTATAGGTCTCTGCAGCATGCTCACAGTTACAGATGCAGATATAATTGTAGCTTCAAATTAAATAATGGACACAGTCCTAGTCCATATGATACTGTACCATATTTTAGTATATATTCTGTTTTTCAGTTACATTGGTACATTTGGGGATTTAGTTTGGGAACTTCAGCTTCTTACAGTGACCTCAATATCCCTTTCTCCTTAGACTGCCCTTTGACATTCAGCTCTTCTTACATTTTAACACTTGTACCCACCTTTAGGGAGGTGTAATCCAATCCAGTACTGCCCGCTGGTGTTGCTCAGTAATAAGGACAGGCTGTCATGATCCACAGAGGAGCGCACTGTCATCAGGTGCCCACTGTGCTGGCTGCAGATGTCCTGCGCTCCATTGAAGTCAACCACTGTCTCAAAAAGGGCAAAACATCGGTTTCCAATGCAGTATCCCCCCATGGGCTGTGCCCCCCAGGCCACCCCTGAGAGAACCCAAAGGAGCAGCAGCAGAGCACCCTTCATTTTCGGAGTGGTTTGAGCGCCGCCAGCTGCCCCAGCACTTATAAGCTCCTCACTCCATGTTGACGAGCCTCCGAGGAGGAAGGAAGTTAAGTTCTAATCAACTCTAGACTGTCCACAACTCCACTCTGAACTGCATTATTATGACGAGAGGCAGAGAAAGGGAGAGAGCGAGGAGGGGAGAGAGAGAGAAAGAGAGAGGGGGGCACATTCCCAAAGCCCCCTCCCCTCTTTAGCTCCTCCTCACTTTAAAACTGCCCTCCAACTCTGAGTAAACAAACTGTGTTCTCTCTTAAAGGGACAAATGCAGTCAGATGACTTTTAACTAGAATAGAGATAATGGACCTGAGATGTTTTGCCCAAGGGCATCAGTGAGATGAAGTGTAGATTCTGGATCCCAGGCAATTCCTGACTAATTGAATCAGACTGAGGAAAGTTTGTTATGTTCCAGAATATAATCATTAAGAGAGTTTTTTAATCTCTTTTTTCAAAATGTTAAACTATTATCTCTTTTTAACTTCTTTAACCCTCTCAGGCTCAAATTAATTTTTAGTGTCAGGAAAAATCTGATATTTGGGGAAAATTATAATATGGGGTAGTAATATACAATCCTGACTTTTTTATCCTTTGTAAACAAAAAAAAGTATTTTGCACTTCTGGCAGGCCGTTTGTGTGGAGCCGTTCTTGCACAGTCTGCATCGTCCACGTTTATCAGCATGGATGGGAGAAAAGGCTCCTGAGTAAAAAAAAGCTCATAAAATATGGATTTAGAGTAAGTAGGTAATTGCTAATCTGCAACACCTGCCTGGAGAGGGTTAATTATTTATTTTTATTGACAAAGAACTTTAGGAAACGTAAGTAACTTTTGTCCATCTTTGGAGGTCAGTGCATACAATAAGAGTCATAGTCAGGGTACGTATTTGCTCTCTGGAAGCCTGAAAGGTCTGCTGACTGGACTCCTGCATGGACCTATGACTGAGCTGGAGGAAACTCACAAAATGCCACAGAAAGGGTGGGTGTGTATGAGTCAGGAATGTGTACTCATATTCTTATCATTCTGTTTTATGTGGTTATTGGCGGCCCATGTTTAAAATAGTAGTGGATATACGACGCCTGTGTTCCTTGGTAGCTGTGGTGACGTGGAATTGGGTCCAGTAAAAATGATGACTCGCTGAATAATGTAAATAAAAGAGGCTGGATCCAGAATGCATTTTGTGTTGACTGTTTAATGAATGGGCAATTGGCATTCTGTCACAATGGCAACAAACAGTTATGGACACAGAGTGCAAGAATATTGCAAAGATGAGTACTGTATTGAGCAAATAAAACCATAAACAAAAGCATTAGTGGCCAACAAAAATTATGGCTAACCAACCAACCCCTCTCCCCCTCCCTGGCCCAGGCGAGTGTGTGCCCTTTACAGTTTTTCTTAATAATTTTAGCACATTATTTGAAACTTGGTTCAGTCTGAGTGTTTGTTTCAAACATGTATCTGAACAGGGCACAGGTGCTCACATCAATTAAAACATTTCACTCAGGTCTCAGGCTCTTTCTCAGAACACTTGACACAGCTCTCATTCACAAACACACATGATCAGTGAATTCAGCTATTTTTTTCAATACTACAGGCCTGTTGTCACGTACTTAAGGACTTCAGCCTAAACTCTGTCACTTTCAATATCAAAAGTCAAACATAAAAGCAAAAACAAAGTGAGCGTACTCAGAATCTAACAACAAAAATGTTGCACATGAGAAAGGTCTCAGCAAAGAACATAGACTATATGAATGGAGACATGCTGAATACAGAACACTATACTCTATACACTATACTACACTATATTCATTTTAATGTTGCATAAATGTCTTGTCTGATTTGACAGAAGATATTATATATTGCTTTTGAGGCCCTATTTGTTATTCCGTCATCTCTTTTCTTTAGCACATACGCATTAAGATAAAATACCATGAAACCCAGTGTGCAAAGAGGTAATACCTACATTTATTTCAGTTATATTTTTTACAAAAAAAAAAAAAAAATTAACTGGTTTTAGACAAAAAACAAAAAAACAAACTAACAAACCAAACCAAACCAAACCAAAACAAAACAAAAACAAAAAAACAGCTCGTTCAGGTCCAGATTCATCTGTATAAAGTATGAACGCCTTTTGCATAGTTTTAAATAGTGATTCTGTTTGGTCACTGAGAGAAGGAAATTTCTGAGCTGCAGTATCGAATGAAAGAAAGAGCACAGAAAAACACACGACGAGGGTTTGAGAGTTTTTATGGTAATACTTGCTTTTAGGAGATGATCAATCAGTTTTGAATAAAAGCTGCATTTTGAGATAAAATTGTGTTTAGGAAAATTAAAATTATGTTTAGGATTTTGTGTGAGCTGTTTCGCAAATGTCAATTTTGAATAAATAAATGTGCGGTCTGAAGCGTTTCAAAAAACACCTCCATGCCCACACAGACACGCTCACATTTGTGACCCCGCATGTGACACCCCCACACCCCCCACACACTGTGCCCAATAGAGACTGAATTTTTGTTTGTAAAAAAAAAAAAATCTGTCTCTATTGAATTCAACATTTCAACATAAATTCCAAAACTTGCCACTCAAGAAACAAACACCAGGTCATGTTGGTGCCTTATATCGTTTTTAAACTTTAACTCTATCAAAACTTCAAAACTCTTTTTGTAGATAAAACAGAACAATGAACTATTTAAACACAAATGCCAGCTGTAACACTTTTTTGTACTAAAGGCTGTGTACCTAAATATCTCATATTTTTACCAAACTCCATAGACTAAAGACACAAAGGACAAAACAGAACACACGAATCACAAATAAGATTTTTATAGACAGACATAGAAGCACCAGAGATCGCAACGCAAAAGACTTCTGTAGTGAAAACCTGTGTAATATTTTATGTATTTTCATCACTTTCCCTCACTCTACATGCCTAAAACTGCAGGAACATTCTCAGGACACTGTCTGGATGATTGTTTGATAAATTTATATATCTGATGATCATGTTCATATTTTAATCCCATAGAGTCCTTTTTACAAGAGTATGTTTCTTCTTGTTCACAAAGGTTAATTTGTCAAACATTCTGAATTGTTTTGTGGCTGTGAATAGATTTGTGAAAAGTTTCAGAAAATGTGAGCCATTTAAAAACAAATACAAAATTCTAACTGCAAATGGAGTAACAATTGTGCCCTAGTTGTTATATTCATATTTTAGAGAGCAGTCCTTTTTCAGGCGTATATTCCTGTATCAGTTTTAATAAGAAAAATCCAATAGAAATGTAACAATGTTGTTTAACAGTTGTAAGGTCTTTTAAATATGCTTTATTTTAAAAACAAAACAAAACAAAAAAAATCTAAATACTCAACATATTTATGAAATACACTGTATCTGTTTTTCTTAGTTCAATGTAATGTGTAATGTTAATGAAAAAAAATCATTTGTAGATGTAAAAAAGTACATGAAAATAGAAATGTCACATACTGTGTCTTTTTGTCTATTCCTTGTACAGTAGGTGGAGCAGACATTAGACTTGTTATAAACAGTAGCAGCACAGGTTTATACATTCATGTGTTTAGTGTTAAGACCATCAGCAGTGAAACAAAGGAGCAGTGTATTCATGTCATACAGTCTGGTTCATGTGCAGCCCAAATACAGTGTTATATGTCAGTGAAATTTCAGACACTTCAGGGAAAGAAGCAGTTGTACATTTTTTATAACTGGCAGGTCAAAGGTGCATTTAAACTGTGCTCTTGTGTGATTCATGTTTGCAGCTCAACAAACCCTCCTTAGCTTAAACTTAGTGCCCTATGATATTGTCCACTTCTAAATGCTCAGTGCTCTTGTACCATTTTATTCAGTGCATTCATGTTGTATTAGTGGTGTGTTCAGTTACTTGATGGAAGGCATTAGTGTTCATAATGATCATTTTCAGTTTGATCAAACTAGTTAATGCTTTTCATTTGGGGTGCATTCAAAGTCTCTGAAAATGAAACATAATATCTATTGGTCCATCAGCAGCACAGTTTGGCACAGACCCCTTATATCAGATAAACCAGGAGTTAAGTCTGTGAGGACAGCTCAAGGCTACAGTCTGTGGCACTCGTTCCTGAACTGCCAGTCATGGGACAGCCTCTTGTATGTTTCGGTGGAGACCTGCTGCAGAGTGAAGATTTCCATGTCCCGTTTGAGGGAGTAGAACTGGACTCTGGACGAGAGTTTGTGGAGCAGACAGAATAGCAGAGCAGCACAGAGCATGGCAAACACAGTGATGCCCAAGATACTGCTTGTCTTCACGTAGGGCGGGACCGCTGTGGCCTGGGCGGAGGCGAGTGTGGGATGCGTCTGACTCAGGTCCGGAATTGGCTCGAGGAGCACACAGCGGTGGTTATCGTGCAGCTCAAAGCCTTCTTCACACTCACAAATGAATCCCCCGAAAGTGTTAATGCAGTAGTGATCACACTGTGCCTCCAGGTCACACTCGTCTATGTCAGTGCACATGACCTCCTATGTCCCGCACGTCCTGGATGTAGCCCGGGGGGCAGTAGCACTGGTCTAGAGTCTTGTGTGGGCAATCGGCAGGACAGTCCTGTTTATTGCAGAACAACTCACACTTGTTGGGTTCCTGGGGATTCACTCTGAAGCCCTGTTTACACACACAGGCCAAGGCGCCCTGCACTTCCCCACAGACGTGCTCACAATCAGAACAGAAAGAAGCGTCCACACAGACCCCGTCCACCAGGTCGTAGTTTTCTTGGCACATGCACAGATATGTGCCCTCCTCGTTCTCGCACGCCTCACCTTCACCACTACACAGAGTCTTATCCTCTGAGCACTCATCCACGTCTACACAGCGGCTCCCAGACTCCAATCTGAACCCCTCTGGGCACCTGCACTCCCACTCTCCTCCCTGCTCTACGCACTCGTGGGTGCACTTGGCGCACGGGTCTATGCACGTAAAATTGTTGCGATGCAGAGTCTGTCCCGCAGGGCACGAGCACCCACGTGGGTTTTTACATTCATGCTCACATCCACCGCTCATCACTTCGCAGCTCCAGGGCGCGCGCCTCCATTGCGTGCCTATGCATATGTGTTTGGAGACTGGA